TGATGACACTTCATGATTGATCACTTTATTCATGGGTGTAATTTTAAAATCTATATCCACTATGATTGTTATAACCAGTGATAGGTAGGTAGGTGGTTGTACCCATCAGGACATCACACAAGCGATAAACACCCGATGACACAAAGTGCCACTATGCGGGTGAGGACCACCCGTGGAGAAGTCCTAGAAACCAATTTGAGCCGTTGGGCCATATCTATGCCCTGGCTATATTCAGGGCCCCCAGCAGAAGCCAGGGTGGGGTTTCTTTTAACAAAAAATTGCATCCCAGGAGGGGACGACTTTGTTTACAACCAGTGACACTTTTGCTGTCAATAAATCCACTTGGTCACTGTCTCCTATTTCTGCATGACACAAACAATACATTCACATAAATCCCTGTTGAATAGAAGTACAAATCCTTAATGTTCACCCAAACCACATCTTTCATTCAGTAGTTATCTTTTTCAGCATATCCATAAATAGAACAGTTATATATGGCAACAATTAAAATATGGCCTCAACCATCTCAGTAAAGTGATCTTGCAGTAAAACTAAATAATATGTGTAAAAATTATTATTGTTTGTGATTAAGAGAGATCATGCTAAACAGTAGAATTTAAACAAAAATGGCTGTAATTTAAATTAGGTTTATTGCATATAGAGTAAATTAGTGATAATAAAACAGTGTAACAGCACTCCATAACATAACCACAAGGGATCTGAACAAGGGTACTTGTCTATGCATCAGCAATTACTATAAAATACAGAATTCGGGTCAGAACTGAAAGAGTCAAAATTGCAACTGTCTCCAGGATAGCTAACATCTGTCACCACAGCCACAAATGTCTAATTGTTAATTCACAGTTTATTTTAGGATGCAATTTTTCGTTATTTGAAGCCCCACCCTGGCTCTTGCCAGGGGCCGCAATATAGCCAGGCCATACATATGGCCTAACGGCTTAATACGGCTTCTGGGACCTCTCCATGGTGATCCTCATCCACATGGTGGCACATTGTGTCATCGGGTGTTTATCACTTTTGTGATGTCCTGGTGGGGTAGAAAGTCAGTCAGTCGGTCAATCACAAATGTCAAACATCCTAAGGATTATGGCAACCACAATAACGGTAAAGATTTCAAAACTGATGTTTGCCATTTTGTCTTTTTTCCCCACTCCTAAATAAACAAAAACGTTGGGGATGGAGTGGGGGTGGAGGAGGCTAAGGCTATAGCCAGTTCCTTGAAAGAAAGGACAGCAAGTATCCTGTATATACAGCAGCAGATGGTAAAATACTTGTCTTCTTCCCCAAATAAGTAATTGATTTATTCATCATTCTATTTATTTGAGTGACAAAACATTTTTTTTTATTGTAATGATCTTTCTCGATATTAAGAAACAAGATAGGATACACCCAAAAGCAACATCTAGAGACAACAAATCAAAACTAACACTGGAGAGTGCGCTGCATAGAGCTGTGTTACTTAAAAACAATGGAGACAGAGCTACATGGGTTGCGTATAGAACTAACTGGGTCGAGTCAAGAATTGACATCACAGCACTCGGGGCATTCCTATGTGTGTTCCGTCCTCATCTTCAGCAGCCACCACAGAGATCCAATACTGATGGTACCGTCACAGTCTGGTTATGTGTCCGTTCTGCCTTTCCTCTGAGTATAGTGAGCCGGCCAGACCCTCTGGTTACACCCAGGTGCCTCATTCTCTCCAGGCCATAGTAATCTTGTTTCTCTACTGACTCCGTTGTTTGTTCCCAAAAGGCCTTGACCACATCTGCCTTGTCATGTAGGAACTGACTGAAAGACCGAATATCCCAGGCAATGAATACCAACATCTATGCAGCACAGACTAAGGTTTGCACCAGATGTCTCTTCGAATGTCATTGCTGAAAGACAGAGTTAGGTCTAAAGGAAAGAAAATGACGATATTATTTTCAATTCAGGATTTACACTTGAATAACTTTATTTCTTTTTTTTTTTTTTAATCTGCCAGGATGCATAAAATCCAAACAACATGTACAAAAAAAGTTATACTATCAGTTTGGCTTACATTTTTGGATGTCATACAAGGTGGTAAAACACCTCATTGAAACCTCTCACACAGAAGTTGAAATGGTAAAACACCTCATCTAAACCTCTCAAACAGAAGAAGAAATGGTAAAACACCTCATCTAAACCTCTCAAACAGAAGACGAAATGGTAAAACACCTCATCTAAACCTCTCAAACAGAAGATGAAATGGTAAAACACCTCATCTTAACCTCTCAAACAGAAATCAAAATGGTAAAACACCTCATCTAAACCTCTCACACAGAAGACAAAATGGTAAAACACCTCATCAAAACCTCTCACACAGAAGACAAAATGATAAAACACCTCATCAAAACCTCTCACACAGAACACAAAATGATAAAACATCTCAACAAAACATCTCACACAGAAGACAAAATGGTAAAACACCTCATCAAAACCTCTCACACAGAAGACAAAATGGTGAAACACCTCATCAAAACCTCTCAGAAGACGAAATGGTAAAACACCTCATCAAAACATCTCACACAGAAGACAAAATGGTAAAACACCTCATCAAAACATCTCACACAAAAGACAAAATGGTGAAACACCTCATTAAAACCTCTCACACAGAAGACGAAAACCACATCTAATTGCACTTTTCAAGCATGGCCATTTGCAGACACCGGGGACATAAGATCAATCCTTGAACATATGCCACATAAACATATATACAACAAACTTCCAACAGATCAGTTCTGTCAACTGAACAGAATCATGTAAAACTGTTTGACTGACATTATACAAGACAAACTGGAAAAATGCATGTCATAAAATTAAAGTATTCAGGCTGAAAATATAACTTTTTAAAGTCTTGTAAACCAAAGATTTAAAGAACAAAAACCATATCCCAGAATTTGTTAAATACTTTGAAATAGTGACGATAGGAAACATCATTTCCAGTGTAACATATCCAAATGTGTTACTAGTTTTCAAACATAAAAATAACAATAGTAACAGCAGTAACAATAGTAATAACAGCAGTTTTCCCACCATCTCCAGCCATATCTTATTATTTCCCATCTGTGTAGTGTATAATTCAGCTCCAAGAATAATAGTATTAATAATTTTTAAACAAATTTCCTACCTCCTCCAGCCATGTCCTAGTATAAAATGCTACTCCACAATAATGAAAATTAATAGTAATACCTCAGTAATAATGATAATTGCAGCTTTCACCACTACCTGCAGCACTGTCTTTTCGACTCATTTATAGTGGGTGTAATAAAATAAACTTCAGCCATAAGAAAGTCAAGAAATAATGGTGTCTGTATTGGTATCACACATTATATAATTTCCATAAGCACATTTTCCCATGATGTCAGCAACTAGAAATCACATACACTGTAAATCAAGTAGAATTAGTTCCAACTGGGAGTGATACCTCTACAATAAAGATAATTATTAAAACATGTTCATTCATACCTCACCATTCTGACATGTGATATCCATATATTTCTATTTAAATGATGTAATTTCCTAGACCAGACACGGAAGATATACACTGCTAAAAGATACATGTATCTACATATATAAAGATACAGACACCTCAACTATGCCATTATATTTTTCTAACTAGTTATCCGGAAGTCTGGCATATATACAGATATAACTGCATTCACATTTAAAATTCAGTAAAATACAACTGAAATTGTAATAAATAAATAAACCACAAAGTTTAATAAACATCACATAACTAAGCCATTTGAATTAGCAATCTTTGCAGGTGCCATTTTCAATTAATTGTTTGGTTCATCTTTTCCTTATTGGAATTTTCAGAGACATTAAGTTTCTTTACCACAGGAAACTGTCCCCCACTTCTTGATTGTCTTCAGCTCCATCTCTGAAAATGATTCAGAGTTACTGTCATCAATAGATTTGAATTTCTTTGTGCATCCCTCTGGTGTTTGGAAGGGGGGAGGGTTTGAGTCATGACTACTGCAACTGCTCCTGTTTGTTGTTGCTGCTGTTGTTGCTTTTGCTGTTGTTGTTCTTCTTTTTTGGGTCTGGTCTACCTGTATATCTCCATCATCCTCTTGGTTGCTTTGTGGTCTATTCCAATTTAACTCTTTTGTGTCTGCAGTTTTGTCTCTCATCTGCTGTTTGTTCTATATGTTTCAACCATGCAGTCCATTAGCCTTCTTGTTGTCAGTAGTTAGTGGTCATTTAAACAAATTATGAATTTTGTTGCTGCTTCTCACTACCCATTCTCTGCTGTTTGCATCTTTGAAAGGTCCACAGATTCAATACAAAACTTGTTTACAGCTGTATATGACTATTCACAGATATAAAAGTTCCACTATTGGCTTTGAACAATCTTCTAGTTTCTGGGTTTGGAGAGGGGAAAGGAGATCTCTGCAACTATCCATTTGGAGAAGGTGCTTCAATGCCATGTAGGGATAAATATCTCTACACCTTCACTTCAACAGAGTCCCTTTGAGGGTTCAGGCAACTTGAATGCTGGGCATAGGAGGTAAGTAAGTCAAGCACAGGATCCTTTTTGTATGCCAGTGGCACATCAGGAAAATGATGCTTTCATATCTTAAAAGACCAGTCAGCACAGTAGATGATGTAGTCAACATCATGCTGACTGCCTTTACTTCCCATGACATTACCTAATACTCATTTTAGGCTTGGTGGACCTAGAAACCAATTCTTTTGTTTTTAAATAAATCCAATTCAATGCAGATTCGAACCTAAGACTTTCAGGCCAGAGCATAGCCCCTGTGCTATCATGGCTTCCAGGGATAGGAGTTAAAACCATTCTTCCAGAGAATGCTCCACCAGTGAAGCAACAACACTTCTGTTTTGACTATCTCAAACTTTTCTTTCACATAAAAGTAGACAGATTGTTTTGTTTCTAAACTATCAGAACATGGGATATATCAGGAAGGTATCTAGTGAAATCAAACTTGTCAAAGCAAATGTACATTTTCCACTCGCTCCAACATTTCAACAACAATCGGAGGTAGCTGTGCATATTTCTCCAGTCGCAGATTTAACACTTTTTCAGCACCTGCAATAAGATTCACAGAAGGAGATAATGCTTATTTTTGTTTTCAAAAATTAAAAATAAAAACATGACATGGGAGTCAAGATCATTTTTTGACCTGAATTCTCACCTGCTCACTCATTTGGGTGGTTGAGATATGAATTATTAGCTAAAAATAGCATGAGAGAGGGGAGGGTTCTGTGAACCAAACAGTTTTTTAAAAGCCAAGTTGATGTAACATTTTCCCATAAGCCTAAGTTAGAGGTCATGGGGTCAAAACATTAAAAAAGCACTCAAACAGCTTTTTAGGTGCCAGAGAATGTATTTCATTTATTGCTTTACTCTGTTCATGTTTGTTGATTACTCACTTAACATATAATGTTATATTTCTTTCTAAAAACTTCCAAGAGTCATTTTTGTTTTAGCATTCCTAGGGTGACAGGGTTAAACAAATCTCCACCTGAGAAATGTGCAGATATGACCACTGGCTAATCAGACAAGTGTACTAGTCACTGCACTACTTGATCTTCCATACAAGTTATATTGCACTAATAATAAAATTAACACAATGTAAATTCATAAATAATATGACTTACTTCGTACACTAATGCTGCGCAAGTCTGTGAGTTTCATAAGCATGTTAGCAAACGTATGGCGCTCACTAGGCCGGCGTGACCTGATGTAGTGTTTGAGAGCTTCCAGCAGTGGCTCCTGCATCTGCTCAATCTTCTCTGTGTCACTGAGCCCCGACCGATCTAAACATCAACAAGAAAAGTTAACAAACATGAAAACCATAATTCAAAGCAAATTTAATCTCTACTTTAAATAAAAATACTGAGGATGCAAACAATATATGGCAAAATTAAAAAATGTATTGTCTGACATACTTAGTAATATCTCATCACTTCTTCTTCTTCTGCCTTTCTAAATGCTCCCCCCCCCCCCCTTCCCCACTCCATGGAGCATAGGCCCTCAACCAACTCATGCCAAGTTGTTCTATCCTTCACCATGGCATGCAGCTCTCCTCATGTCCTCCCCATCTTGTCAACTTCACTCTATAGCTCCAGTCTCCATGCGTTTTTTTGTTGTTGTCTTCCTTAATACCTATGCCCCAGTAGTTTCCAGTGACAAGGCATTCTAGCTATATTGCTCTCAGGTTTTCTCAACCTGTGTCCCATCCAAAGCCATCATCTTTTCTTCACCTTTTGGTCCACTAGAACTTGCAGTGTAGTTCTCTCCCTAATCTCTATATTAGTGATTCTGTCATACAATTTAATTCCCTCTGGGAACCTGTGGGAAACTGTGGGAACCAAGATCAGTTTTGAAAATGGCTTGACCACTTCGCTACAGAGACCCCCCCTTGCTTAGGTCCAACACTATACACCAAGAAAGCTGCAGCGGTGCAGTAGCTAGACACTCTGCCTCTGGCCTGAAATTCTAGAGCTCACATCTGCACTGAGTCAGATTTTATTTTCAAAAATGACCTTGGTTTCCAGATCGACCCAGCCTAAAATGAGTACCAAGCAAAGATCTGGAAAGTAAAGGTGGCCAACGCGATCTTGACCACATCAATCATCTGTGCCACAGGAGTCTAGCAACATATGCCTGATGGGCTGCTGGTGGGAAAACTGTGATGGGTTACTGATGTGAAAACTGATGGGTTACTGATGTGAAAACTGTGATGGGTTACTGGTGTGAAAACTGTGATGGGTGACTGGTGTGAAAACTGTGATGTGCTGTGGTGTGAAAACTGTGATGGACTACTGGTTTAAAAACTGTGATGGGTGACTGGTGTGAAAACTGTGATGGGCTACTGTTGTGAAAACTGTGATGGGCTACTGTTGTGAAAACTGTGATGGGCTACTGTTGTGAAAACTGTGATGGGCTACTGGTGTGAAAACTGTGATGGGCTACTAGTGTGAAAACTGTGATGGGCTACTAGTGTGAAAACTGTGATGGACTACTGGTGTGAAAACTGTGATGGGCTACTGTTGTGAAAACTGTGATGGGCTACTGGTGTGAAAACTGTGATGGGTGACTGGTGTGAAAACTGTGATGGGCTACTAGTGTGAAAACTGTGATGGGCTACTGGTGTGAAAACTGTGATGGGTGACTGGTGTGAAAACTGTGATGGGTGACTGGTGTGAAAACTGTGATGGGCTACTGTTGTGAAAACTGTGATGAGCTACTGTTGTGAAAACTGTGATGGGCTACTGGTGTGAAAACTGTGATGGGCTACTGTTGTGAAAACTGTGATGGGCTACTGGTGTGAAAACTGTGATGGGTGACTGGTGTGAAAACTGATGGGCTACTAGTGTGAAAACTGTGATGGGCTACTGTTGTGAAAACTGTGATGGGCTACTGTTGTGAAAACTGTGATGGACTACTGGTGTGAAAACTGTGATGGGCTACTGGTTTAAAAACTGTGATGGGTTACTGGTGTGAAAACTGTGATGGGCTACTGGTGTGAAAACTGTGATGGACTACTGGTTTAAAAACTGTGATGGGTTACTGGTGTGAAAACTGTGATGGGTTACTGATGTGAAAACTGTGATGGACTACTGGTGTGAAAACTGTGATGGGCTACTAGTGTGAAAACTGTGATGGGTTACTGGTGTGAAAACTGTGATGGGTTACTGGTGTGAAAACTGTGATGGGCTACTAGTGTGAAAACTGTGATGGACTACTGGTGTGAAAACTGTGATGGGCTACTAGTGTGAAAACTGTGATGGGCTACTGGTGTGAAAACTGTGATGGGTGACTGGTGTGAAAACTGTGATGGGCTACTAGTGTGAAAACTGTGATGGGCTACTGTTGTGAAAACTGTGATGGGCTACTGGTGTGAAAACTGTGATGGACTACTGTTGTGAAAACTGTGATGGGCTACTGTTGTGAAAACTGTGATGGGCTACTGGTGTGAAAACTGTCTTTTACTTTGACTAACTTGAGTAAAGATGTGAAAAAGATTTCTTTGCTTGCTTTATTTCAAATTTTTTTTTTAAATATTATTTTATTGCACCGTCTGTGGCTTATGTGTTGAAAATATGTTTCATAATGCCGGGTTCCATCCCAGCTGCGGATGATTTGTCTTGCATTGGTTTCTACAGTGGTACTGACAGCTGATCCTTCAGAAAGCAATAGCAAACTACTGAACTTAAAACTTGCTCAGAGAAACCACAGCGGCCATAAAATGCTGGGGTTGGTTCTGTAACGTGCTGTAAAGTATACGCAGCTAACTGTAACTATTTTATTACAGCATCTAAAGGTCAAGTAGAAGAGAGTTCAAAAGGTCAACAGGAAGCAGTCACTGCTGCTAATAAGGCAGACAGATGAGAACAAAGCATACTCAGTAGTCTGTCACAGTTCAAAAGATTAACAGGAAGCAGTAAATTACCGCCACTAACAAGGCAGATGGCTGACAACAAAGGCGTACTCAGTTTTTCACAGTTCAAAAGGTTAACAGGAAGCAGTTACTTACTATTGCTAATAAGGCAGATGGAAGAGTACAAAGCATACTCTGTTACTTTTCACAAGGTCAACAGGAAGCAGTCACTTACCATTGCTAATAAGGCAGATGGAAATGTACAAAGCATACTCTGTCACTATTCACAAGGTCAACAGGAAGCAGTCACTTACCACCGCTAATAAGGCAGATGGCTGACAACAAGGCATATTCAGTCTCATCACAGTTCATACGCTTCAACGATGCAGCAAAGGAAAATATTGTTGGAGTCAAAGGCCCGAAACCTCCCATTTGCAAATTCTCTCTAGTCAGAGAGAGGCCATTAGGAAACTGCATAGTGTCTGTGTCTAAATCATAACGTCTGCTGATTCGTAAAATCTGGTGAGGACAAATTAAATATAGTTATACCATGTAACTTGACACAGTAGTAGCTTGTTTCTATTTGGGGGTTATGCTATTTCACAAAAATCTGGTGAGAACAAAGGAAATGTGGTTATACTATGTAGCTTGACTCAGTACTCAGTACTAACTTGTTTTTATTTGTGGGTGATGCTATTTCATACAAATCCGGTAGGGACAAGTGAAATATACCATGAAACCTGACTCAGTAGTAACTTATTTTTATTTGGGCGCTACGCTATTTCATAAAAATCTGGTGAGGACAAATGAAATATAGTTATACCCTGTATCTTGACTCAGCAGTAACTTGGTTTTATTTAGGAGTTATGATATTTCATAAAAATCTGGTGGGGACAAGTGAAATATAGTTATGCCATGTAACCTGACTTAGTATTAACTTGTTTTTGTTTGGGGGGTTATGCTATTTTATAAAAATCTGGTGGGGACAAGTGAAATATAGTTATACCATGTAGCTTGACTCAGTAGTGACTTCCTTTTATTTGGTGGGTGGGGCTGTTTCAAAAAAATTTATATATATATATATATATATATATATATATATATATATATATATATATATATATATATATATATATATATTCCCGTATGGGTTCCGGGACCCTATTATAGGGAAAACAAGAACAGGACTACTGCCTACCCAAAAGCATGTCATAAAAGTTGACTAATTGGGAGCTTTCTTTAAAGTCAGAGTGCATCTGCCTGAGAGGCAAGGAACCAACAATCTGATCACAAATGAGTCAGATCTGTCAAACAGATGCATATGCAACACTCAGGTTCTGGAACAGGACTGCTGTCCAGAAGTGAACGAACAACCAGAACTTTCCACCAAAGTTTACAGCTGGTGAATGCAAAGAAGAAGAAGTAGGACAAGAGTCTGAAGATTTAGAGCCACCTGGGTTGTGTCATCAACATGAATGTGTTGTATAAAATACTTATTTTTACCCCTGACAGAAAAGAAATAATCCATCACCACACAAAGGATTTCAACCAAAATCTTCTTTATGAGTGCCTAGCATTTCTAGCACTACCCACAGGCTACCTACACACTCTAGTATATTGCAAATTAGCATTTTACTGGAAATCCAAATTATCACCAATCATAAATGATAAGAAAACAAGAGTTTCCACTGTATATTCCCGAACTTACCATGATTTCCAAACATGCTGCCTTTAATAAGGTAATTTGGTCTGAGGTAGATAATGATAAAAAACCTGGAATCTTTTTGGCAAAGTCTACAATTAAGACAATGCCAGTTGATGAAAGCTCTGTAATTTTCTCCCACAAAAACACACTGGAAGAATCTGAACTCTCTTTGTCACAATGGGACTCCTGTCGAAAATAAATTATACAATTATAATCTTATGATATATTAATCACATTTTTAATACTATTTGCAATATCATTTGTGTGTTTTCATTAAGGTAAATAACATAAATGTTTTGTTTCATTGTAATAGCTGCAGGCCTCGGAAATGAAATATCTGAGAAAGGTGGTCCAAGTGACAAGAAGGGACAAAGTCTGCAATCAGACAATATGTCCAGATCTTGATACCCAGTCCTTACAAACCCGAGTGTATTAGTCACAGTTACGATGGTTTGGACATGTATGCAGAATGGGAGAAAAACGGCCACCATAGCAGGCATGGGAGGATAAGAACCAGGGAACCAGACCTCCAGGGCGACCTAGGGTACGCTGGGAAGACATCCGACAGTCCCTAACCGACAGAGGACTGGCATGGAACAAAGCCAGAAAAAAAACTGCTGATAGAGACGTCTGGCTATCTCAATGGCAAACCTCTACACCCCAGGGTAGAAGAGGAGCGACTAAGTAAGTAAGTAAGTTCATTGTTATAATATAACTTTTCAAGTTTGCTATGTTGAAAATTCATATTTATTAGTTACAGAAACCTTTTATCATAGCATTTCTCATCATCATATAGGTGGCTAGACATCACAATGGCTGCTTTGGAATGTGTCATTAAAGTGATTTTGTGTATTTGTATGATTGTGTTTGACTTATGTATATGCTGATGAAGGCTCCGTAGCCGCAAAATTAACTTGTTTGTGTTTGTTATATTGTGAAGCTTGCTAATCTACTTTTCGTTTGGTTTTATATCTTTTCATCATCATGTACCTTGTCAAAAAGTGTAGGTGTTCATAGTTCACCCTAACGAAATCCATTGAGTCTTGGATAAGGTTTGTGTTCTTGTGCTGCTTATGCCATATGGTAAAGTCTTCAAGGTTGTGACTTATCCTTGTGACACTCTAGACATATCTATAGATGATCAGTTTCACTCTCTACATATACATCAGTGTCGTATAATTTATAGTGCCAGGATTATAATGATTGACACAGCCTCTGTCTGGTGTGCTTTTAATGCTATATTTTCTCCCAGTATTTTAATTCTTAGTAACAATGTTGACACACTGCCCCCAAAAGTGTCTATTCTCATTATTTTTTTTTGGGGGGGGGGGGGGGGGGGGGGGGGGGGGGGGGGGGGGTTGAATCTCATTTCTATAATTAGTTTATAGTTTTCATCAGTTTCTATAAAGACTGCGAAAAATTATTTTCAGTCCGTGCATATTTGTTTAAATAGTTTTCTTTAAAAAAAATTTATGTTTCTGCTCTCATTAGTCGCCTATTTATTCTCTCTTCAGTACAGGTTGTTGCTGCTGCTGCTGTTGTTGTTGTTCTTATTCTTCTTTTTCTTTGTCTTTTAATTTTGTCTATTTTCCATCTAGCAAAAGACTACATTTGTTATGTTGATTATTGTTCTAATCTCTGAAATGTATCTTTTGTCAAATGTTATGACTGTTCCAAGACAGTTGTACCCATTTATCTCTTAAGGGGAGGAAACAAGCTGGAAAATCATAAATTTTCCTGATAGTTTAATATATCTAAATATGGTCAGATCTTTATGAAATTTTGCAAGGACCTTCCTTATCTATCATACAAACAATAAATCACAGAGAAATAAAGTTAGATATGTTTATTTTATACTTATTTCCACCTGATAAAGGTACATATATAAGTGATGAGAACATTTGTTCCAGTAGCGTTTTCAGTCCTGCTAAAAAAACCTTTTCAATGTATGCAGCAGAAAGTTTGTGTAGCTGCTCAGATATGGTTGAGCTATAATCTGAACCTCTGTCATCTCTGTATCTGTGTTAGGTTTTCTTATATTGATGTCCAAAATTTTCCTAAAGTTTCATAAAATCATAACTCAAGTTAAATGCTGACCTCAAGTGTGGGGCCCTTAAAAATGGCATGTTTCAAACAACATCTCCGTGTCCTCCAAATTTCTTTTAATTTAGCCCAATAGTTTTGAAATTATCCTGATAAAAGTAATGCACATGTGCGAAAACAGCCTTGAAAGTTTTAACATACTGAAAATGTCAGTCAGTCCATCCTCTCGGGCACATAAGCTATTTAAATAATTTGTGTGATTGTTCAAGATGTGAACTATGAAGCAAAATTAACCTAGACTACTCGTGGGCACCAGCAAGGTAAAAATCCTCTTTGTCTTTTTCATGCATGACAGCCACAATTAGGAAAACTGCAAATTAAGTCGCCGGAAGTGCGCAATTGACACGTGACTGAGACTCTGTTAGGGTGTTTTTACGGCCACCATCTTTTGTGCCCGTTATTCAGAGGATAGCCTAAGTTAGATATGCTTCAGCAAATGCAGAAGTAGAGCTTTAAAACACATTCTTTTTCAACCCCGTTTGCCCATCTGTTTTCTACTATGGATAATTGTGAATTGTGTATGAAAACCCAAAATGGTCAAAATTTACGATTTTCATCTTAGACCCTCCCCTTACAGAACTCTCCTATTTGCTTGGAGCTTAAAACTCCCTTGACATAGGAAGTGGTAAAAGGGAAAGCAAAGAAGACTTGAAAATTATTTGTGTGCGATTTCTCTTTTCATGGAGGTGACTGCAGTTTCTGTTTCCTTACATTTTAGTTCTAACCCTAGTTGCTCACTGTGAAGTTACTCATCATCATCATTATGTGTTGTGCCAATTATTGGCATAGGCTGTTATGTTTCACCGTCTCACATGATCACCAGATCACATGATCTTCTGTTCATAGTTCATGCTGTTTGATGCTGGTAGTCATATTTATCCACATCCTTCTGTCTCCTGTACTTTCATTAATTCTTATGCAGATTTTCCACCATGCCATGTGGTCATACTGTATAGCATCACTTCTTTTGATCTCCCTCTGCCTCTTTTCTCCTTCAACTTTCTCACCATCATGATCTGAACCAGCATAATCCTTCTCATGAAATGGCCAGTATAGATTGCCCCTTTCTGATGTGGCAATCAGTTCTCTTTATGAGTGACTTTTTTTTTTCAAGACATCTTTATTACACTTTTCATCTTTACAGGGCATTCTCACAATTTGCCTCTAACTCCGCATCTCTGCAGCATCCTTCATAGACTTTCCAATGTCTTTCTTACCTTCCTGTGTCCCATCCATCTGTTATATTAACCTACTTTGTCACATATATTACTTTAACTCTTCTTCTCATAGTGCTATTGTAACTTTTTCAGAGCTGCTAATTATTAATATAAGTAATGTCTTCTTCATCTTCTTCTTTACATTCATCGGTTGTAAACTTCTTCAGAAAGTTCTAGTTTATCATCATCTTCTAGGCTCTAGTCTTGTTAGGAACATGATTTTTGCATGCACATTCATTTTACAAACCTGGCTTATTTATATGTAGATTGTTTGTTCCTCATCTCTCAGGCAGATGCACTCTGACTGATAAAAACACCCTTAATTAGTTCAAATTTACAACATGCTTATTAAGTGGTTACTGAGTCTATTCTTTTGTTTCCCAGGGTCCCAGAACCCACATGGGGATCCCCAGATATAGATACTCAGTTTTGTTAACTTGATCCCAGAGAGCCTTCACAGCAGCTGCTTCACAAAATGGTGAGTGACCTGTTGCCACAGAACTGGTGGTACTTCTTTGAATTATTGCATGTGCAACTGCTGATCTGTTGCAACTACTGATCTGTTGCAACTACTGCTTCCATTGACGACGAACTGCATTTCTAGTGCTGGGCTGCTTGTGTTGGCACTTCTGATGGCTAGCTTATGCATTTAATGCATGTGTATGCTACTGGCTTTACTGAAACTGCAGTCTGTGTTAGGCATTCAGTGCAATTTTTGCTGGCACAGGAACGGAGCAGCCATGGGGGTGACCCATTTGCTGCGATGTTGGAAGTGCTATTACCTGATTACTTTTTCCATAAAGTCAGTAATAACCATTAGTTTTTACAGTGGTATAGAAACAGAACTTAACAGCAACTGGTGAGTTATTCAAAGAAAATAAAACAAATCTTTCGAGGCCTTTACTTACAGAGGATGAGGTAGCTACAGAGGTTGTAGTTGCTGCTACAGGCTCATCAGTAGCAGCTAGAGCAGCAGCACCATTCTGGTCATGTGGTGTGGTGTCCCGGTGAGCCTCCAGGACTTCTTGCAATAGCATCTGATCATCTTCGGTCAACTCTTCTGAAAGACATGATGTACTCTCTGGATTCTGTTTCTTTTTCTTGTTTCTGTCATTTCTCACCGCTAGAGGAAAAAAACACCAGAAAGACAAAAGCACAGTTTATAACCGGCCTTATATTTTTTTCTGTCATCAGTATAGAATTGAGCCATGGATGGTAAGCTTACATGTGAGAGATTATTTGGCAGCTGAAAGATGTCATTTTATAGATGTATAATGAACAAATCCACCCCCCACCCCTCACCACAGGTGTGTCTTGGGGCTTTATTCTGTGGAGAAAAAGAATTGACCCCCTCCCCCACAAACTCCCGATCCTACGTATGTTGTAAAAGGTGAATAATTAGGGATTTGATGAAACTAGGTGTGTAGAGCAGAAAGGAGTAGATAACAGAGCCTTGTTATAAACTACAACATAACATACACCCTTTTAATAACAACCATCCTTGTAAGGGTAACAGTAGAAGAAGACGATGAGGATGAAAAACGATATGAACACAAAGAGGTGCAATGAAGATAACAGCAACATAATTGAACCATTCGGCTGCCCACTCATCAGAATAGTGAGTAAAATTCAAGGGCCCTTTTCCACACCTTCGGGCACACTGGCCATATAGGGCTAGACTTATATTTTATAGATCAATCAGCACACATGGATTGCTATGGTCAACATTTCGCCCGCCACCTTTACTTCCCAGGACGCTACCTGGTATCCACTCAAGGCTGGGTCGACCTGGGAGCCCCGGGCATTTAAAAAAATGGGTCAGTGTCTGTAGTAGTTATTATCTGTACTAGTAATTATCTAAAATTCATTCACTCAATCAATCCTCATCATGCCCAGAGGCACATAAGATAGAGACAAACTGTCGCCACTCTATTCAATCCTGACCCATCCTCTCTATCTCCAGTTTTGTCCTTCGCGCAGCCTTAAGTTCAGCCTCAAAGGTTCGCCTCCAAGTGTCTCTGGGCCTGCCTCTTCATCGCTGTCCTTGTGATGTCCATTTCATTGCCTGTCTCGGCCGTCTCTCTTTCTTCATTCTGAGGATGTGTTCAATCCACCTCTATCTTCATTTTTTCAGTTCTAAATTTACATCTTTCACGTCTGTCATTTGCTGTAATTTATATGAAATAAAAAATGGGTAATTTTACCTTCCTTGGACATGCCCATTGCGATGCATTTCTGCAGTCGGCAGTACTGGCACCTATTTCTGGTCACTTTGTTGATGACACAGCTCCTGTCTTTGTGACAGGTATACTGCATGTTCTTCTGGACACTTCTTCGGAAAAATCCCTGGTAAAAGATATTATAGACACAGTAAACCAGTGCTAAATCACTCCCACTCATTAAATCTCTGTCACTCACTCACTCATTAAATCTCTCTCACTCACTCACTCATTAAATCTCTCTCACTCACTCACTCATTAAATCTCTGTCACTAACTCATGCAACAACCTACTCACCCACCTAATTATACACTTATGGCCCACCATTCCACACATTGACTCACCCTCAAAACTAATGTATATCTATATATCCCAGTTGTAACCCAGATAAGTGAACAGGATATTGTTGTTTAAATTACCACTACTGCTAAAATTATGTCTGTCTGTCTGTCTGCCTGCTTGTCTGTCTGCCTGTCTGTCTGTCTGTCTGTCTGTCTGTCTGTCTGTCTGTCTGTCTGTCTGTCTGTCTGTCTGTCTGTCTGTCTGTCTGTCTGTCTGTCTGTCTGTCTGTCTGTCTGTCTGTCTGTCTGTCTGTCTGTCTGTCTGTCTGTCTGTCTGTCTGTCTGTCTGTCTGCCTGCCTGCCTGCCTGCCTGCCTGCCTGCCTGCCTGCATATACAGACATCCCCAGGTCAGCAAATGAATTATTATGTCTTTCTGCATATCTATTCATCTAACCGTTAATTTGATTACTCGTCCACTTATTTATCCATCCATCAGCTCCGCAACCTGTCTGACTGCTCAGTCCATCCATTATTGTGTTAGGCATATGTGTGAGTTCAATAGGCATCCTGAGGATTGCCTGCCAGCTGTATTGTATTAATGATTTTTCTATGCTGGGGCTTAGGCCTCTGACCTGTGATGATTCACATTTGTTCAACATTTTGGCCTATGAGTAAACTTAGCTGAATGGCCCTGCTGTGCATACATACGTACTTACATATTACATACATAGATATGTATGTACATACATACCTACCTACTTACATACAAACATACATACATACATGCATGTTTGCATGAGTACATACACAAACATGTACCCACACACACATACCAACACAATAGATGCACATGTGCATACACATGCACATGTAAACACTCCCACACACACTCACATATACAAAAATATGTTCACATGCATGCATACACACACACATACATACATATATATGTATGTATGTATATACACACACACACACACAAACTCTCTGCTTCTGACTGTCAGGGTGCCAGAAAAAATATTTAACAAATTTCACTGATATAACCAAACTGATGTAACACCAACACCAACCACCTACCTTACACCCCTCACAGGAGCTAACTCCATAGTGGTAACCAGAGCTTTTGTCGTTACAAACTACACAGGGTTTGTATATTCTTGGTGGAGGTGGGGGTGACAGACTAGGGTCATAGGTCATGAGGCCAGATGCATGAAGACTGCCACAAAAATTGGTTGGATTACTGAATCCACCACCTGTGAGAATAAAACAGCACTGGTCAGAGCCATTGTCCTTCACAAACAGTAACAGTCAGCTATTGTCTTTCACAGACAGTTACAGTCAGCCATTATCCTTCACAAACATTAACAGTCAGCCATTGTCCTTCACAAACAGTAACAGTCAGCCATTGTCTTTCACAAACATTAACAGTCAGCCATTGTCCTTCACAAACAGTAACAGTCAGCCATTGTCTTTCACAATCATTAACAGTCAGCCATTGTCTCTCACAAACAGCAACAGTCAGCCATTGTCTTCCACAAACATTAAAATTCAGCCATTGTCTTTCACAAACAGTAACAGTCAGCCATTGTCTTTTATAAACAGTAACAGTCAGCCATTGTCTTTCTCAAACAGTAACAGTCAGCCATTGTCTTTTATAAACATTAACAGTCAGCCATTGTCTTTTATAAACAGAATTACTACAGCACATTTTTTGCTATCATGTCAGATTCCACTTTTTATTCACTGTTTGTTAACTCCAATGGAAAGTTTTGGATATTCACCCACTTCTGGTCTGCAGTCCTGTTCCAGAACCTGAGTGTTGCATGTGCACCTGTTTTACAGTTCTGACTCATTTGTATGCAGATTGCTGGTTTCTTGCCTCTCAGACAGATGCACTCTGACTTTGAAGGAAGCTCACAATTAGTTTATTCTTATGACATGCTTATGGGAATTCAGTGAGTCTGTTCTTGTTTTCCTTATAACAAGGCTACCGAACACACACGGAGAAGTGATTTGTTTCTTCTTTATGTGTTTTTTTGTTTGTTTGTTTTTTAGTTGTATTTAGAGAAGCAGCTGCCCAAATATGTTGATCTCTTGTGAGAATCCTCAGTGAAGTTACAGATTTTTCTTGTCAGGGGCAAAAATAAAATACTAACATGCAAAGTCTGTAGCAGCTGCACAAACCAAGTGGCCCTAAATCATAAGGCTCCCCCCTCCCCTTGCCTACACTGCAGAAGTGGTAAATACAGCCATTAATGGCAGTTGCTTTATTTATCACATGCACATCCTGGTAGTCTGACATCACAGTGACTCAGTGAGCCAGAATTCAGATGTCAAGTCAAATATTCAACCTTGAGAGAGGTAATACTAAAGATAAAGCATTGGTAGATTTAGCTTACTGCCAAGACCGTGATGAATTAACTTGTTCACCCTCTAGTAAAGACTGATATGTGACTGGCTCTTATTTCTTAGCCATCAGGTAAAGTGTCCTACAACTTATTACGTTTGATCTGTTATGCCAAAGAAATCTGGCTGCTCTAGTGGTTACTTTAACTGGATATTTTTTCTATTTGAAAATCAGGAACTCATGATTGTACAAAGTGATTATCTCCAAACGTCTGGCAGGCATTTGTTGTGATAAACTGAAAAAAAAAAAAATATTAGAAATAATAACCCTATCAGAAAAGTAGAAACATAGAACGTGTTCTGTTATATGGCAGTGAATCTTGGAATGTCAGTGAACAAATTAGGAAGAATTTGAAAGCAACAGAGATGTGGTTTCTGAGACGAATGTTATGAATATCTTTGATGGCCAGAGTAACTAACAATGACTGTTTGAAAGAAGCTAATGGATGTAGATTATTTACAATAATAAGAAAGAGACAAACACTGTTCTTTGGCCACATAATGAGAAGAGAGACATTAGAGAACATTGGGACAATTAGAAAGATCAGTGGGAAAAGATTAAGAGGCAGACCAAGAGAGATAATGCTGGATGGACTGAAACGATGGCATGGAGGGATATAATCAAGAGGCTGTTCCAAGCAACCAGGGATCGTGATCTGTGGAGATGCAAGAGGGCCTATGCCAGTTGGCAGGGTACATGATGATGATGATGATGATGATGATCAGAAAAGTTCAGGAAATTAAAGGCAACATCAGAAAGATTTAGCAGAAAGAATCAACATGGGAGTTTTGCACTTGCAAAAACAAACACAGGAAGGAAGTGCAGGTCATGGATTCGAGCGACACTCTGGTAGACCCAAAGAACTGAGAACTGTTAAGAAAATCTACCCATACTCACATTGGACCACAGGCAACACCAGTCTGGTATCACTGATATGAGTCATCATCAAGGGCCTTGCCAGTTTGCGTAAGCATTCATACATCTCCACAGATCTTGCTCTTTGGTATTCTGGATCAATTTCACTGATGATATTTCTCCATGCCACTGTCTTGAGCTATTCACTATCATTTCTTCTGGTCTGCCTCTGCCTGTTCTACCAGATCTCTTTTTAGTCACCATAATATTTCAAGTGCACCTTTTCTCCTTTGTTTGTATCCTTCTCATTGATGTATATAATGTTCTGCTTTCATTAGCCATTTCCAGGCAATTATTGTTGGTTATGAGTGCCCTAATTTTAACTTCTTTGGAGGTTCAACAGCAAACAGCTTGGGGATATGGACTTGGCTGCTGATAACATTTTTGTTTCCCTATCCATAATGGTAAGGCAAAGATAATGAGAATGGTTAAGATAGTATGATGAGATAATGATGATGATAATGTTGGTGATGGTAGTGATATTGGTGTGATGAGATGGTCATTTTAATGATGAATTCTGATAATGAGGTAATGAGATGATGATGATGGTGGATGTGGTAATGATAATGATGTGGTAAGGTGATAATGGTGGTGATTATGATGTTGTAATAAGAAAATGTGACTAGATGATGACGGTTATAAAGACAGTGATTACGATGACTTCTGGTGTGATGAGATGTGATGAGATGTGTATGATAATGATGATGGTGGTCGAGTGGTCGAACAGGTCTCATAAAGTGGAAACTCGAAATCTTCAAAATTGTCTGGAAAACGCCCATGAAATAAAAATGGAAAGAAAGTGAACTGTCCATCTCATCTCATTCTTCCGGGAGCAAGGGCATATAAAGACCACACATCCCAACAGTATAACCATCTATATATATAACCTTTGCATTATCATTCTCCAAAACACAGAAGTTTTGAACAAGACCAAAAGGGCGAATAGTCTGACTCACCAGTGTCGCTGATCGTTGACTGGACCATGTCGACTTTCTCGTACAAGTTGTAATGTCCATAACTTAGGGAGCCTTCAGGGAAACTGCTGTAAGAGGCTTGGCTAGACAGCAGTGTCGTCATTCCTGTAATAGTCAAAATTTGTCATCGGCCATACACAAAACTGCCATTACTGCCTGTGTTTGCCACTTTTGTGATGTGGGCAAGGGGGGGGGGGTGTTGAGCCTGAAGTCTCAGGGTCACATGGCTTGTGTTGTTCGTCCATCACGAGCGATGAAGATCACACTTTATAGTGGACCAAGAGGTGAGGAAAAGACGCTGGCGTTGGATAGGACACACACTGAGAAAACAGGAGAACATCATAACTAGAATGTCTTTGCATTGGAACCCACAGGGGCATAGGAATAAAGGAAGGCAAAAAAAAAAAAAACACATGGAGAAGAGAATTGGAGAATGAAGTTAGAAAGATGGGGAGGATATGGGGAGAGCTCCATGCAATGGCGAAGGATAGAACGACTTGGCGTGAGTTGGTTGAGGGCCTATGCTCCATTGGGGGATAGAAAGGCAGAAGAAGAAATTATCAATGATTATGAGTACGAAGGTGGCTGATTAATCCAAAAAAGCCTGGAAAGTTCTTGAGCAGTCCGGACAACAGGTGGAAGCCGCAGTAAGTGTGGGATTAGCGATACAGTTCTTTCAAGACTACCTCCATTTCTCTGCCTGTGCAACCTCCGCTGCCTGCAGGCTGATGCACAATGCCTGAGATAGCAAGTACTGTCTTCAGGGACTGTGCAGCTTTGGGATTTTTTTTCCGCATAGGATGGAAAACATCCGCAGCCTTAACGAGGATTCAGACCTATGTCCTGCGCATGGCAGGCCGTCGTTCTTAACCGTTCGGCTAGCCGCGCCTCAGTTTAGAGGCACCTAAGCTTATTTAGAAACAGGGGCTATTTCTTCTCCTTCGCGTTCACTAGCTGTAAACTCCGGCAGAAAGTTCGGATTGTTTGTCCACCTCTGGACTTCAGTCTTGTTCCAGAACCTGTTGCGTACACATCTATTTAACAGGTCTGACATAACTGTATTCAGATTGTTGGTTCCGTGCCTCTCAGGCAGATGGCCTCTGACTTTGAAGGAAACCCCCAATTAGTGGACAGCCTCTTACGACAGTCTATTTTTGGGAAGGCAGTGGGTCTACTATGCCCCCTCCCCCCTCCCCTCACATTGGAGCTCCGAACCCATACAGGGAATGTGCTATTTGAGCTGGTTCAGTTTCAGACAGGAGGGATTTCAGACCTTTCAGCCATATGTAGAATAGGAGGCCGTAAAGCTAGTGCAGTCTCCACGAACTGTGCAGGTTCGTGCACTCTGACCACTCGGTTCACATTTTTCTATACCACAATTTTTGTGTTAAGAATATATCAAAATAGTGTTGTTAATTTTTTATTTTTTTTTAGTTTGATTTAGTTTCTTCTTCTTCTTCTTCTTCTTGTTCCTTTTCGTCTTCTTCTTCTTCTTCTTCTTCTTGTTCTTCTTCTTCTTCTTCTTCTTCTTCTTCTTCTTCTTCTTCTTCTTCTTCTTCTTCTTCTTCTTCTTCTTCTTCTTCTTCTTCTTCTTCTTCTTCTTCTTCTTCTTCTTCTTCTTCTTCTTCTTCTTCTTCTTCTTCTTTCTTCTTCTTCTTCCTTTTCTTCTTCTTCTTCTTCTTCTTCTTCTTCTTCTTCTTCTTCTTCTTCTTCTTCTTCTTCTTCTTCTTCTTCTTCTTCTTCTTCTTTTTCTTCTTCTTCTCTTCTGCTTCTTTGTATTCTCATTAATATATTTTCCCCTTTAGAAGGACGTTTAAAACGCTTTGTTTTGGTGTGCACCTGTTCCGTCTGCCAAACACATATGATATCAGCAAACCCCTAATTAGACGCCTATTATTGCACGCTTTAAGCTCCGAACACACAAAAGGAAGGTCACATCTAATTAACATGACAGGAACCAATTCCGCGTCAACAAGTTTTGAAACGGGAAAAGTAGGCAGTAGTGACAAGTTATATAAGGTTTTAGGAGCCGCGGTGTAACAGCGCTAGCAATATCTCATACAAAGCTTATTCATTCCCACCCTATGCTACCAGCGACAGACCTGGTTACAACAAATCAGAAAAGAAAATTAGTAACTATGGAAAGAAGATGTCTGAAAAAAGCTACAGGAATGACCATAAGAGACAAAACCAGGAGTAAAGTCACAAGAGAAAAAGTTGGCACATTTCGAATTTGTAACCGCTTATAAAGACAACAAATAAAATAGTTTGCTCACTTATGGGAGCCGCGTTAGCGCAGTCGACAAGAGACTCGCTTTCAGATCCAGCTGCGACTCGCTGCAGCCCATGGCCGGTGTTCGAAACCAGACGATTTCCGGGATTCACACAGCCTCTAGGTAATGGGTAGCAAGGTTAACACTCTGGGGTAAATGGAGTAGCGTCGCTGTAGCTACGGAGTTGCGTGCTGACGGCGACACAGGCGAAAAGTTTCTTTTCAGCTGCCTTTACTGGTGGCAGAGCACTTATGGTTTATAACCGTGTGCAGTGAGGCTGGTTCACATCTCCCGAGATTGCCTTTTACCGTTAGAGTTACTTCTTTGTGACGCCATACCATTTAAGGCACACACTAAACGCAGAGAAGAACGTGCAGCACGAGATGATAGACTAAGAACAAGATGGAAAAATAACATCAGAGAAACTCTTCAAAAGCACAGTGCGTCACTGTCTGGGGGAGGAAGCCAGAAGAGCAAGAAGTATAACCTTTTATCTCCTTCGACACCCGAACGGATAAAAAGAAAGTGAAGAAATAGAGAACAACCAAGGCAATTACTAATAAATTACAGACATTCATTAACTGGTGCCTGCGCAGAATAGAGGGAATAAAATGGTATGATAGAATAACTAATGTAGAACTTTAGGAGAGAACTAAACAGGCTCCAGTGGATCAGGAGGTGAGGAAAAGACGCTGGCGTTGGATAGGGCACACACTGAGAAAACAGGAGAACAGCATAACTAGAATGTCTTTGCATTGGAACCCACAGGGGCATAGGAATAAAGGAAGGCCAAAAAACACATGGAGAAGAGAGCTGGAGAATTATGTTAGAAAGATTGGGAGAGCTCCATGCAATGGCGAAGGATAGAACGACTTGGCGTGAGTTGGTTGAGGGACTATGCTCCATTGGGGGGTAGAAAGGCAGAAGAAAAAGAAGAAGAAGAAGAAGAAGGTAGAACAGCCGTTTGACGCTTGCCTGCCGTCGCAAAGACAAAAGGTTCCAGACACACCCAGGAGAAATGTTATTACAGACTTGGGCTTCTAGGCTGACACTACTCACAAATACAACATCTTTGCGTCCACCATTTGTAAACTCCGGCTACAAGTTATGATTGTTCATCCACTTCTGGACTATAGTCTTGTTCCGAAACTTAAGTTCTGTGTGTCTGTCCTTGGTCTTTTGCCTCTCAGACATATGCACTCCGACTGCGAAGGAATCTCCTAATTAGTAAGTCTCTTACGACATATTTGTAATATCTATCTTAAAAAGACTGGGGGAAAAAAGATGGGGAAGAAAAAATATAGAAAACTGAGAAAATTAAGAAAAATTGTTCTTTATTGTTTGTTCACCTCAGACACAAGGAATCCCACAGTTCTCGGGAAGGTCAAATAGCATAGTGGTGTCACGGTTTGAAATGAGCACTGACTACGGGAAAGTCCAATATTGTAGTGGTGTTGGGGTTAGGGTTAGCCAGTGTTCATGTCAAACCGTGACACCCCTATGCTTTTCTTCCAATTTTTTTTTTAAACCGTTTTCTAGATTTCTTCTTCCCTGTTTTTTTTTTTTTTTCAGTCTGTAAAAAAAAAAAACCGTGACAAAAACCGTGACACCCCTATGCTTTTCTTCCAATTTTTTTTTAACCGTTTTCTAGATTTCTTCTTCCCTGTCTTTTTTTTTTTTTTTTTCAGTCTTTTCAGATTTTTTCTCTTCACATAAAAAAAAAATAGATGCGACTTACCGGCATGGCTCTCTAGCGGTGACAGGCTGGATGATGTGGTGGCGCTGATGTTGCTGTCGCTGCTGCTACCTGTGGCCTGATTGCCCAGGTGTGTGTTCATACTTCACTAACTCAGACAAAAACAGAGCAGACGGCGGCACACATCTTGATGCCGCCTCTGATCTCCTAGGACAGACACACATACAGGGTTATTTTACAGACACACAGAACACACACGCACACACACACAGCACACACACCATACACACAGCACACACACAGCACACACACAGCATACACACAACACACACACAGCATACACACACACGCACACAAACCATACACACAGATTCACTTGGTCTTTAAACTTGTGCCCATCATGTCTGTTATTTAAAAAAAAAAATCATTCATTATTCATGCATGCATGCATTCGTCGTCCTTCTGCAGCATTTTATGTCACAGAGGACTCACAGTCTATTCGAACAGGATACTGCAGGCGCAACTGCCACATGCATAAAATACAGATTGTGCAGTCCCCACAGTGTGCCAGTCAAACAGGACCACAAACACCTGAGCACATTCTGCAGACCTGCCCACTCTACCTGCAACTTCTAAAAGACACCAGGTGTCAAGAGCAAAGTGTGCAGAGCAAGCTATGGGAAATCATGAAGGACCTGCTACTGACATGCGAGTTCATAGAGGCAACCCACCTGATAGTCTCATCTTCTTCTTCTTCTCTTCCACCATGTACCTCATCGAAGTGTCAGGGGGAGATGTAATGTTCGTTGATGGGCTCTGTCAAGAGCACTATTAAGACTGATGTTCATTTCTGTAAGGCTCTTCTTAATTCCATCACTCCATATTGTCCGAGGTCTTCCACTCGCTCTATACCCGTTGTAACGTTTAAGTGTGGCTCGCTGTGGCGGATAGTACCACGGCATTCTTGTTTGGTGTCCAAACCACTTCATTTGTTGTTATTGGATGACCTGTAAGACTGGCTTTATTCCTAGCATTCGTCTGATTTCATGATTTCGTATTCTGTCTTTCCTTGAAACTCCTGCAGCTCTTCTAAGGCACTTCATCTCTGTTGTCACAATTTTACGTTTATTGGAGGATGTAAGTGTCCACGTTTGGCATTGAAAGCATAGTGTTGGCCAAAAAATAAATCTGATAAGATTCACTTTAGTACTGCGAGGTATCTGCTTGTGTGTCAACAGGGTAGATAGTTGACTCAGCGCTGGAAACCGAACGCAGAGAAGAAGACAGTTTACTCCTCCGTTCAGGTGCTGTCCTGTGAAGTAAAGGTGGCCGGTGTGATGCTGACCACATCCGATTGGTCTGTAAAATATAGGTCTAGTCCTATATCTAAAAGATGCCCATAGTCGCTGGAAAGGGTCCTTTACATTACTTTTTAACACACCATAGAGGATGTTTTTATGGGGTCTCTACAATCCTCCATTCTCAAAGTGGGTCCTAGCCATATGAGCTTCCAAAGACCAAGCAATGAGAAAACTGTTGTGATACTTGCTCTTTACGATACCTCAGTGTCTGTAAATCATGCTCTTTACGATACCTCAGTGTCTGTAATTCCTGCTCTTTACGATACCTCAGTGTCTGTAATTCCTGCTCTTTACGATACCTCAGTGTCTGTTATTCCTGCTCTTTACGATACCTCAGTGTCTGTAAATCCTGCTCTTTTCGATACATCAGTGCTTGTAATACCTGCTCTTTACGATACATCAGTGTTTGTGATGCCTGCTCTTTACGATTCCTCAGTGTTGGTGATACCTGCTCTTTACGATACATCAGTGCTTGTGATGCCTTCTCTTTACGATTCCTCAGTGTTGATGATACCTGCTCTTTACGATACCTCAGTGTTGTTGATACCTGCTCTTTACGATACCTCAGTGTTGGTGATACCTGCTCTTTACGATACCTCAGTGTTGGTGATACCAGCTCGTTATGATACCTCAGTGTTGGTGATACCAGCTCTTTATGATACTTCAGTGCTTGTGATACCAGCTTTTTTTAATCTTTGATCACACTCTTCAGTCAATAAAGATATAAATCCATTCTAATCCAATGGCTCTTCTTCTGGTTCCAGAACTATAGTTCTGCATGCACGTCGGTTTTACAGAACAAGTTTGTTTGCGTGCAGACAGTTGGTTGATGCAACTTCGAAGGTAATACCCTCATTAGTCACCTTGAGTGACATACTGGTTAGGGGAAAAGAGGCGGGGGGGGGGGCAGATCTATGTATATATGTTCTTCTTTTGTGTGTCACCAAAATGGAGTCCAGGAACCCACATGGGTAATCCAACTAGTCACAAAACATACCCTTAGACTCTGATCCCACCCCCTTAATCATAGAATGTGCACACAAGACGACAACACATCTACCTCATCCACCACTTACCATCAGTCCTGACCAAGCCCTATCAGTTGAGAGCAACCTGCGTCAGGATATGAACCCCGGCTCTACTGGTAGCTGAGCTAGGAAGCCAACAGACAGCCTCAACATTCTGTCATATTGTCTACACACAGCCGGTTGCTAACATTACACAAGCTGGTATCTCACTATAACAATCCGTATGAAACAACACAGTCGTATATGTAGTTCTCCCTGAGATCATATATGACTGAGCTGTTCTCCAGTAAAGGAAGATCAGTAAGACCTGAGATTTTTCATGGATGGTCCCGTTTCCGTAACAGGAAAAATTACTGATGAATAATTCTTGCAAGAGTTAATGATTTTCTCTCCAAAAAGAAAGAATAGTCTATGAATATATCTTGCAATCCTTTATGATTTTATTCCCATAAAATGAAGAACTGATTAATACTTCCTGCGATCATTCAAGATTCTATTTCCATAAATAAAGAATAACTGGTGAATATATGTTGCAAACTGGTAATTCATAATTGTATTCCCATAAAATAAGGAATAACTGATGAATAATTGTTAGGTGAGTCCATGGTTCTAGTTACAGAAAAGGTAGAATAAATGAATCATTCTGGCCATCTTCATGATTCTTTCCAAATAAAAGCAAAGGTAACTGCCGAATAGTTCAAGCTATCTCATTTATGCTACTATTATCCGCAAAAGAAGAATAACTGATAAACAATTCAAACTGTGATTCCTTATTTTATTGCCACACAGCGAACAATAATTGAGAAATCATTGACGTCATAGTTCCATTCCCGTAAAAGGAAGAACAATTTCTGAGTAATTCATGCGGTGGTTCGTGGTTCCATTCCCAGATAGAAAGAATAATTTATGAGTAATTCATGCGATGGTATGTTGAGCTGTTTCCGTAAAAGGAAGAATAATTAATGAGCTGTGGCAATGTCTGACAGACATCCGACAGGTAAATGGTTAGGATGACGACGTCAACAGGGACACATCACTTTCTCCCCTGGGGGGCCAAATTCTGTGTGGATATAGACAGACAGTACACCATCTATGCCTATGTGGTCGGGTATTTCTTTAACTTTGGCTCTGAAAATATAAATATTCCATACATTAATGACACTGTTTCTACTGACTGTATTTGCATATTTTTATGTGTGTAAAAAACAAAAAAAAATAGTAATGATGATGGATGACTTAAGACAGTGGCATGAAGGAATATCATCACTAGAATTGATCCAGAACACCAAAGACCGAGATCTGTGGAGATGCATGAATGTCTACGCCAGCTGGGAAGGAACCTTACTTATGATGAAGATCAAAAAAGTGACTGGCAGGGGAGCGCAGTAGTCTTCAGCCTGAGGACTGAGGGTTGCATGGCTTGCAGTCGACAAAATCGTTACTCCCGTTAGGGTGTTTATTTTCGCCCTTCGGAACAAACAAAAAATACCGAGGATTTCTTCTTTTCCCTCGTGTTTTCCTGCCAGTGGTTTTCAGATGAGGTGTCATGCCTCCATGTTTGGTGCCAGGCATGTTCCTCCACTGATCCCTAGGGCTTGCTTTTCACTGGAATAACTGCGACCAAGGATCTATCTTCTACTGCATATTAGAGAGGCGATGTCTGTCTCTTTCTGTTGTATAACAGACCTGCTGATTGATGATGATGATGACTCCTATCTTACAGCACAGAATATGGAATGACATCTTCTGTTGTGTGTAATCAGCTTCCTTCGCTAGCTAATTTCCTCCCAGACACATCTGTTTTGTTACACTTCTTAATTTGTCCACCGTGTTCTCATCAGTCTTCAGAGAAACCCCATTTCTGCAGCTCTACTTTCCCATAATTTCTCAGTCATATGCTGTCCATAATTAACTACCATACATCAGGATTGAGTCTATAGAGATCTGGAGAACTACATTTCGGATCACATGCATATATAAGAAAAGAAGAAATACTGAAATTTTAACAGATCTGAACATCAAGGAAGATTGACTAATAAACAGCTTCTTGTCTTGGAAGCTGAAATACTTTAGCGGATTTGAAAAAAAAAAAAAAAAAATTATATATATATATATATATATATATTCTTCTTTTTCCAGCTAATCCCACACTTACTGCGGCTTCCACCTGTTGTCCGGACTGCTCAAGAACTTTCCAGGCTTATATTGGATTAATCATCCACCTTCGTACTTATAATCATTGATAATTTCTTCTTCTATATATATAGATAAACTCATAATGTTCTTTATTTTATAAAATGCTATGAAAATATATTTCCTCTTTAATAGCTTTATTAGAAAAAAAAAAAACTTTTTTCGTTCATTTGCACCTGTAGTTTACGCCACGAATATTTCCTTTTCTAGCCCTTTAGCCTTGCGTTGGTTTCGACAGTGGTATTAAGAAAGCCGACTGTCCAGAAAGCAACTACTGGACGTAAATTTACATAGAAAACCCACACAACAGCTAGGGGCTGTTGGGGTTGGTTCTGCAACGTCCTGTAAAGGAAACGCAACTATTCTATTCGTATAGCTGAGCGCACTTTTTGCTTGCGTGGGCGTGAGATGGACGGCAATGCAGACAGGGAAGTAAACGGACAGGTGGCGAGCAGGCATACATACATTTACTGGGAAGACTATATATTAGCGGAACACAGATGTTATGATCATCAGAAGATTGCACAGATGCAGGCAAATAGGAAGAGAGAGAGAGAGAG